TCTAGTTCAGTAGAGGGCAGATTACTTCCCTGAAACATTTTTGATGGGAGTTCCATACTGGTTAGAGTAATCTAATTAAGATGTGTTGTTAATGCTGTTTTATTTACTGCTTAAGTTTAAAAAAAAAACAAAAAACTGTAGAACCTCCCACTATCAGCAATTATTCTGAAGTCTTTTTTCCCCTCTTGTTTGCTGTAGCTTCCTTTTAGACTGAAGTTACCTGTGTCTCCAGATAGGAGGGAGGTCAAGATTTTGTACTTAATATTTTGCCCAGTTCTTACTGAAGTTTCACTAAAGCAAAGGGAGACTGTTACTGAAGTTCATGGTGTTTCCAAACCATTTGCATTTGTATACTCATCTCTTAGAGTGCAATACACACATAAAAACTATCCGAAATTATACAAAAATTCTCCATTTCTACATGAAAGCTTCTTGTCCCTTCAACTACACGCAGGTCCAGAGGCTTAAACAAACTCCTTTTCAGATTATTGTGAATGCTATGCCTGATTCTGCAGCAGCTGTTGCTTTTGAACAGTATGATGCTTCTCCTCCCCCAAGAGGAGTGGAAAAGGCCTCTGCCGCACTCTCAACCTTCGTCAACTCGAGGAGCATAAAACAGACTGAGGGAAGAACCTAGGATTCCTGTTTGGGAATTCAGTGCAGAGCTTAAAGACTATTGAGTTTTGCCACTTCCTGACACTGACTTTCAAAGCAACAGTTTAGTTTGGAGAAAAGCTGCTACCTCAAATGGCTGAAGGTATTTATGTGGAAAATTTTCCAAATGATTGACTTTACTGTGTTGCTATTTTCTTTCCCCATGAATATGTGAGTACTTGGCTTTCTCCCAGGAGTTTTTCTGCATCACTTCTCTTTAGGCAAAGACATTTTTCTATCCAGACTGGGAAAAGAAAGATGTACCAAGAGCTTCCCCCTTTACAGTGAATTATTATTTGAGTTTAAATGATAACATCTCTAAGAATGAAGAATTTGAGTGTGTCTGTTTCCCGAACTCTTCCCTTGGCCAATCTTCATGGTAGTCAGAGTCATCTTGATCATCACTTTGGAGCCAATGCAACTGTGATCAGCTTCCTCCAGCACTGCCCTGCCTCTCTCCTCCCCATTGGCATCAGTCTTACTGAAGGGGTTGTCTCTGCTCCCTCCTACTTCCTTATCTCCCGCTAATTCTTCAGCCACCTCTCTAATGCCGAGGTGGCCAATGGCTCCCTGTTATTTAATCCAATGATTATCTGATATTATAACTGATTTGTAGCATGTGACATTGCTGTTCCCATCTTCCTTCGCTTCTTTGCCATCATTTCTCCTCATTCTCTTAGTTTCCTCCTCTTCTGCCCCTTTCTTAAAAGTTGCTTCCTTGGGTTGTAGCAGAGCGGGGAAATTAAACTGATAATATCCCCCACCTTTTGAAAAGAAATTAAACTTCTAAATAGATGAATAAATATATATGTCTAGAATTGAAACTCTCTGAGAGCCGGGTTGTTTTGTTTTAATCAGCATGGATCACCCACCCTAGAACGGTGCTTGGCACAGAGTGGGCACCCAGCCAACGAATGAATGAATGATATAAAATTTATAAATACTGAAAATATATAGAGAAAAGAAGGAAAAAAAGTTGTTTCCTTGGGAACCGATGCAAGGCCTGCCTCTCTTCTTACTCTACAGTCTCCTCCTGGCTGGTGCCATCTGTCCCTCGGACTCAGTCCCATGCCATTGATAAAGATCCCCATCCACTTCTCCAGCCCAGATCTTATGACAGCAGATCTATGTCTAAACTGAATCTAATACCTTCTCTTCCTGGTTTCTCTTAAATCCCCAGTTTTAGTGAGGGATGCCATTGTTCATCATGCAAGACAGAAACCTTAACTTCCTCTCCCCTCTTCCCATAAAAAACACTAACGATTCCTACTTATTCTATTTTCTACATAAATTTTAAATACATGTCTTCTCCCTAACTCCTACCAGCACCCCTCCCTCTGCCCTAATTCAGGAAACCATCAACTTGCATCTGGATAATTCGCTCTGGTCTTGCTTCCTTGCAATCCATCTTCCATATTATAGGAGACAGCTTTCTGATCCCATTGCCCTGATCAAAGCCCTCATGCTTGCAAAGCCCCTGCCGTCTGGCCTCTCTTGCCTCCCCAGCCTCAGCTCTTGGCACTCCTCACCTTACATTTTTCATTTTTGGTCATTCCAAATATTTTTCAGTTCTTCAAAAGTACCGTGCTCTTCCACCTTCTGGGCCTTCATATTGCCATTTCTTTTTTTCTACCTAGAACATTCTTTCTATTCTCTCCCCATCTGGAGAATTCCTGCTCCCTTTTTAGATCTGAAATTCAGACCACTTCCTGTTGGATGCTCCCCTGAATGCCCCAAGTCTGGCAAAGGTACCTCTCCCATGACCTCTGCCCCCATTGTCCCATCAGAGCAAGAGTCCCCCTGTGTCATAATTGCCTGGGTCTTTGTATCGGCATTATATGGTCTCCTGTGTTGAAATCATATCTCCAGTGCTTAGCACAGTGATTGATGCAGAGAGGTGCTCAAATTTTTGTTGAAGAAATGAGTGAGCCTCAAAGTAAAGCATGAGCCAGCTTTCTTTACCACACAGCCTCAAATGCCTCACTCTGCAACCTCTTCCTCACTAGTCAAGCTCCTCCAAATAAAACAACTATTACTTTCCCACAAAGCAGCCAAAACTTTGCTGCAGACAAAGCAACCTATACATCCCGAGGAAGAGACACTTTTCAAAAGTTCTGAGAATTAACATATGGTAATTGTCAAATCCCAGGGTGTCTTTTAATTGAACCTTCACAGTAGTTCACTTAGCTTGTACTCAGTGCTTAAACTGAGTAGAACCTCATTAGGGAGGTTGTGTCATGCCTTAGTGAACCTGGAGGGAAGGAGAAATAGAGCTTTCCATGACAGGGAGGCGGCAAAGAAGGGGAGCAATCTGGTCTTCAGATTCTTTAATCCATGTAGCTGACTGTACTGACTCCTGAAATGGGAGATGATGGCGGAGAACAGCCACAGCCATCAAGGGAGGCTAGGATCTTCCTTCCAAACCCCATTCTGGGTTTTGTCCTCGAAAAGCATCTGCTGCCTGCTTCCCTTCTTTCCTTTCCCAGAGCACCTTCGTCAGTGCCAGCCTCAGGAGCAGCCTGATTTTAAAAGAGGTTTCCTCCCCAGGAGCAAATCATTGAGGGAACCATGTAACTACCAGGTTCAGCCCCCCAGTGCTTTTCTTGGCCTCTCTGTCACTGCTCATCCACTTTCTCTGTTCTAGCCACCATGAACCTTTTCCTGCTCAGGGCTGTGACGAGGTGGGGCAAGTGAGGCCCCCGGGGGTGCAAAACTGAAGAAATTGCCCACTCTTGGATGCCAGCGCTGCACGTGCAGGAGCCTGAATGCGAGTGCCTCCCTGGACTCACCCCCATTCCAGCTCCTGCTCTGCCCCACCTCGGCCACCTTGTCTCCTGGCCTCTGCAAATTCTAGTCCTCCAGACCCAGCTCAGACGCTGCCTCCTCTAAAGAGCTCTTGCTGAAGCTCACCAGTCTCTCTCACAGCCCAGCAAGTAGTCATCGCACCTTCCTCTGAATTCTCAGTGGACCTTATTTATACCTCTCTGAAGACACTGAATACCTCGTTTAGTTCTTGGGCTTGTCTGTGTCTCTGTTAAACTACAAACTGTTCAGTCATTTTCTCAGTGTGCCTTCAATATCTAGCACAGGGTTTGGCACACATAAGTCAGTGAGGTGAGTGGGGTTGTCAGGAGAAGAGAGAAGAGCATAGTGGTTAGTTGCGTGGGGGCGAAAGGGTGAGGAGTAGGCATGGGCCCTGGGGCCAGTCTGCCTGGGTTTGACCTCAGGCTCTGCCATTTACTGGGTGTGAGAGCTTGGACAATTTATGTCACTTGTCTATGCCTCCATTTCTTTATCTTTAAAATGGGATCAATAGTGGTACCCCAACATGTGATGTCTAATTGAGCTAAAAGAGGTAAAGCCCTTAGCACAAGACTTGGTGCCTAGTGAACACCTCAGTAAATGTCGGGATTCAGAATTAAAAAGGGTCTAGCGAAGGGATATCCATGGAAAATGCAGGTGTGCACCCTAAGGGTAAAGCACATTTGTGACTGATGCCATAGAGGAAGTTAAATCTAAACCGTTAATGATGGAAGACAGAGGCAACAGCCACCTACTCCCTCGAGAACCCAGGTGCCTACTGTTTTTGAAAAGACAAATCTTATCTCTACAAAGAAGATGCTTAGGGAGGCTGCCTGAAAAGGCAGCCGAGGAGACCTAAATGAACCTGGGAGTATTGAAACAGATATTTAAATATGCCCTGTTTTAATATCTGCTGTTAAGGGGGATGGAAACAGAATGCTAAGGGAAAGTCATGTTTTTGCTGCCATCTACAGTCAAAGTGCAGTTTTCAAAGTTTCTTAACACACACACACACACACACACACACACACACACACACACATAGTTATGAATAACAGTATAGAGTTTGGTTTAAAGTCTAGTAATTGAGGTACTTTGGGCATATTCTAATATTTTATTTACCAGTGTTTCTAAAATTATGTATATTTAATCAGTAATATGGCCTTTTTAACATCTCAAATTGTGTTAGAACTTATCAGAAGGCTGAAATAAGAGTGAGGCTTTTATCTGTCGGGTTGGATTAGCTGCAGCTGTGGCAGATGACGTTTCATACAAAGATTTTAATGAAGAAAGAGATAGATTTGATTTTACCCCATGTTCTCCTGCCCCATGACCTGCAGTTCTATGATTGTTATTAGAATTATTATAAATTGTATTTTATACAAGCATCCTTTATTGTTTTGATATGAGAAATCAACCAAAAGCAAGTAAAAACAGTGTGACAGTGATGTCACTTATGAGATGCCTCCTGTCCCTATGCGCCCATCCACGTAATCTCCATTATCATGATGTTTTCCTAACTTGCCTGTGCATTATTTTTAAAGGGTTAAGTACAGACGAGAATTATTGGAAAAGCGTTTGATGGAGAAAAAAGAAGTGACCCTTCAAGAAGCACTTGAAGAAGCAGAGAGAGAGAAGCGAATAGAAGCCCTGAGGAAACAGGTGTTTTTAATTTGGAAAATTTCATGGGTGGTTTAAAAAAATGTTTCTAAGTGCTCTTAATAACATTATTACTAGGGCTTAGTTCAGTGACATCTGCTATATAAAATGTAACTTTCCCAAATTGGGACACCAGTCTTCATTGCTGGGAGCAATTAGATTTATGTTGAACCATTTCCAGTTTCTTAGTGTAGTAAAAGAATTTTATCAGCACCTTTAAAATAGCTCTCCCAAGATTTAAATGCATCCATATTACCTCTAGTTTATAAGCTGAATAGTATCCATGTACAGCAGTGAAACTCTGCATCTAGATGAAGGATTTTACTCTCCTCGAAAAAATGTGGTGGAGATTGAGCAAAATAATCCTCCCTAGGGTAGGAACCTCTGTTTGGAAACATCCCACAGTCAACAAACAGGTTAAAAACCACTTTTAAAAAATACTGTTTTTGTGGAGAAATAAAAGTCTCCCATTGCTTTGGCTCGTAAAAGTAGGCAAAAGTTCCAAAGGTAGTAGTCGGCAAGAACAAGAATTTAAGACCTTGGGAAATGTAATAAAATAGTTTTACTTGGTAATTTTTCATAGTTTTTAACCTGAAAGTGATTAGCTCAACTCACAAGCTCTAAAGTCTTCATTGACACCATTTCCCAGCTGATAGGAAATGACTGGTTTCTCTTCTCTGTCAGTGAAGGCAGTATAGAATCTTGGGTAAGAACTTGGCCTCTGGTGTCCTTCAAAACTGGTACAACCTGGTTCACTACTTACTGACAGAGAAAACTTAGGTCTTTTAACCTCCCTAAGCTTCATTTCTTCCTCTGAAAAATGGGAATCATAATAATAGTACCTACTTCACAAGTTTGTAGTAATGTGCATTCACATTTTTTGAATATTTAGTAAGTATAAAGCCCTCTTCTAAATGCTTTTAGGTTTTACCTCATTTAATCTCTACCACAACCCTATGATGTAGGAATTATTATTATTATTCCTACTTCCTAGAAAACTGAGGAGGCCCAGAGGTTCCCCAAAGTCACAGAGCTAGTAAATGTCAAACTGGATTCAAACCAAGGAAGTCTAGTTAAATGAAATATTTAGTAAAGAGGAAGTGTAAATGCATACAACTATTATATCATCTTTTATAAAATAGATTATAGAAATATATTCCTATACTTTGAATTTAAGTCCTGGACATCTTAGATTCAACAAAGTTTAAATTATTCAATCATTAGCAAATAATGATATACCATGGTCTTCGGGAGACAAAACTTAATGTCACTCTTACTAAACACATTCTTGTTCAAAATATAATTTTGATAACTACAGAGTCCATATGATTACGATTCTTTCCATCTGTGAGCCCTTTGAAAGAGGAAATATCTGTGCCCGTTATCTGTAATCAGTGTTTAGAACTACAGTAAAAGACATTTTGGCTAGGAAACCTATAATAATTAAAGTATGTTCAACCCCCAGTTATGTCATTACAATTTCTAAATGGCATTAAAAATGCCATTTTCTTAATGCTAATTTTTGACTTTAGGAATTAACACGCAGGTGTTATTAATGGTGCATATAATTTACAAAATTAGTGGCTTCTTTTCATTAGGATACAGGTTTGAACAATTTCAGTTATCATAAAGGACAAGGGCATTCGGGTTGAAACGACTCTGCAGTTTTTCACTGGAAGGGGAAACAATGGTTTTTAACAGTCCCTGGAAATCTAGTTGCCTGGTACAATGAAAACTCACCCGTCTTGCTGAATAATGCCAACACACATGACTTTACCCATAAATGACATGCTCTAGATTCAGCTTAATCAGATTAAACTTTCTAGAAAGCTTCATGGGGTTGTTACCATGGCCGTAGATTGCTAGTGGTTAAAAATTAATGTTTTCTACTTTTGGTTACTTTCAAGGTGGTTGAATATGTGGGTTTTCTATATAAAATTTCCCTTGACTTTGGATCAAAAAGAAATTTGTATCTAAATTTAATCATAACTGTAATTATGTAATCTTTAATAAAATTTCTTAACTTTAATGGACATTATCATTAATAATGTTGCCCAGAAGCATTTTGCTTGTATCTTGTTCCAAGTAGCCATGCTTTTTCTTCTTTTAGGTTGCTATTGTCGCTCAATTTGATCCTGTTAGAATGATGTCAGACACAATGGCATCAAAAGCGAGGATGGGTATTGGAATCGAAGAAGAATTTATTCTTCAAAAGCCACTCTTCACATTGAATACATACAATGAACAGCAGGTAATTATGGAAATTAGCACGATTGATGCAAAAGCCATGATGATAAGAATTGTAGAAGTGTGTGTTTTGGGTTACAAATTATTTTCAATATTTCCATTTAAATACCATCCATATTAGCACAATTTTTATTTCTAAATGAGAGCACATAATTACTGAACAATTCTTAATATAAAATAGTTGATAGGTGACCATAGAACAAAACACTTTATGTGAAAATGTTATGTCATTGAAAATTATTTTAATCTAAAAAATAATTTTATAAAATTTTAAAGTTGTGTTAATACTGTATTTTGTTTAAATATTTATCATATTCAGAATTTTTTAATGCATAACATAAATCCTATTAAAGAAACAACTAATGATACTGATAAGACAAAGCAGAGGGAAGCTTTCTGAAATTAAAATGAACAGAAAATAATGTATCAGAGCTAATGATGAAACATTTGCTGTGGGAAAAGGTATTAAGAGGTTATTTAACTGTTTCTAGGAACTTCTGAATCATTTTAATCTGTTTCTATAGCTGAGAAAGGATTTTTAAAAGTTTTTTTAGACGGGTGGATGGAAGAGAAGGAGCCGGGACATATGAGTGAATGGATATCACTGAAGTTAAGGGAGAAAGTAGTTGTTAACTTTACAAATCTAAGAAAAGCTAAATACTTATTTAATTATTTAAAAAGCAGGAAACTTCATCCATTCACTCACTGACAAATAAATCGAGTGTGCCTCTTTTATGCGCTGCATACTTTGCTAGGGAATAAAAAGATGAACAATTCACATATTAATTGGGCAAATATTTATGGAACATATACTGTATCTGGCACTGAGCCCGGTGCCAGGGCTGCATCCTGAGCAAGATAAACTTGTCCTGTGTGGAGGAAGTGAGCAGGGGAGTTGCGTTGGGAAGGAAAGTAGCACGCATGGGAATAACTCCACTAGGGTGAGATTGCCTCCGGCTAAGGGCTGCAGCGTCAAGAGGAAGGGAATGAATGGGCAGCCCTGAATGGGAAGTCAGAGAAATGGAAAAGGGGAAACTAAGCTCCATCTTAGTTGAGGAATTTTGGCAGCAGTGACAGAATTCATTCCAGATAATTTAAGTTAACAAACAACAGCAAAACTGGATTGGGGGGAGGGGTGGGTGTAGGGAGAGGGATTAATTAGAAAATGCACGGGTATCTCCAGAAGCCAAAGCAGGGAGGGCAGTTGGGCTTACAAAGAATTGAAGTCAGAAGCTGAAAAGCTTTCAGGTATCTGGGCTGAGGAAATAAGTGCTTCACCAAGCAGAAGAGGGTGACCCTTACCGGTATGTGTTCAGTGTAAGGTACATGGTAAGGGTGGGTGCTGGGGGATGAGACTGGAGACATAAATTCCAGTCAGACTGTGAAAAGTATAGTAGATCTTACTTGCTAAGACTTTTGACCTTTATCCTGTGAGCAGAGGTGAGACTTTGAAGCAGGTGAATTATATAATCAGCTTTATGTTATAGCAATGTGTCCTGAATGGAAAATTGGTGGAGGTGGAGTCAGGTCCTTTTAAGATGGTGGAGCCCTCATAGAAGTGGCTTGGAGTCGGGGGATGGTGGCCTGGCAGGGGCATGGATGGCTCTGGCTGAGAAGAGGAGGGGGATAATGAGTGAGGGTGATTCTAAACTAGGCAGTGAGTGATATTGAGAAGAGCCTGCATTTTGGATTGAAATCCACATCCACTATTTACTGGCTGTGTGAACTTGTGTAAGCTATTAACATCTTTATGTCTTGTTTACTTCATCTGTAAAACAATTTGTAAGGTTCTTGTGAGGATTAGTATAATAAATGTCAATTGCCTAGAATATTGTCTGGCACCTAGTAGTAATTCAGTAAATTATAATCATTAGGTGGTGCTGCCATTAACCATATAAGAATTCAGAAGGAAAAGCAGACTTAGGGAGAGAGCATTTATTTTGTTCATATCAGGTTTAGGTTGAAGATGTCTAATACACACTTACAAGAAACTGATGGGCTTCCTCTGGGTAGGAGAATTGGGGAAATGGAGGTCAGTATGTGAGGGAGATCTTCATTTCACTTGATACGTATTGAAAAAAACAGAATTATGAAAACATTTTAAAACTCACAGTTCTGGAGCTGGGGGGAAAAAAGGTGAATCCTGGAGATAATGAGGACGTCAACAGCACACAGGTGAAGCATGAATCCTTCAAAGTGGATGAGAGTGACCAGGGAGACTCTTTTGGAGCAAAAGAGGAGAAACCTAGGTCTAAGTCTCAAATACGTTGCTTTTCAGACACAAATCTCAGTGTTATTCCTGACTTATATGCATCGTTGCCCCTAGTCCCTGTATTGATCAGTTGCCAAGTTCTACTGATTCTTCCCTTCATAGTGTTTTGGACAGTTCTCTCTTCCTTGCTACCAACCAATTTTAGGCATTTATTATTTCATGTCTAGACAATTGTAGTCGATTCTTAAGCACTCTCCCTGCCTCCGTCTCTCCTTTCTCTGCCACCTTAATTTATCCTGAACTTGTAATCAGATGCATCTTCTTATTGCAACAGCAATGATTATATTAGTTCCATGCTGAAAACAGAAACACAACCTCAGTAGCTCCCCAGACTCCTTGGCATAGCCTTCAAGCCTTTAAAATTCAAGTCCCAGTCTTAGAAGTGTCCTTTTCCAGTGTTCCCCAATGGTACCAAGTACTCTACCCAGATTGCCCCGATCCCAACTTAACCTATTTCCTCTCTGAGTTTGCATGTGCCTTTCTTTCTTGATCTCTCTTCCTCCCCCAGCCCCATCCCCAGCTTTATAGAAGAGTAAGTTGAACTTTAAAGTTAGCTCAAGTGGTCCTCCTTACCTGAGACCATCCTAGTCTCATTGGCACCAGGAGATGTCTCTCCGTATTCTACTACTCTTGGAGCATCTGTCACATGTTGCCACGGACTGTAGTTATCTGTGTACATTTTTTTACCTCTGTTAGTGTAAGAGCTCCTTGAAGGAGGGGTTGCTTTCAATGGCTTATTATCCCATCCTCTAGGGGGACTTCAAGTTCATGTAAAATGTTTTATTAGCTGAAAGCCATACGTGGCCACCTTCTTATCATTGCAGACAGTGTCTGTTGACATTAATATTCATAGAAGGAGGAATAATGTCCAATCAGCTATAAATGAAAAGGGAAATTGAACTACTCATATGTCTGTACCCCTTAGAGTCAGATTGATGGAAGCATTTTCTAGTTCTGCTTGAAATAGAAATCTGGCCTTGGAAGAAAAGTTCTATTGATTTTGTTTTTCAAGTAGTGGCCGTGTGTTTGAACTTAATTTACATATTTCCAAATGATGGAGAAATTAAAATGTCTGTTTAAAGACAGATTTACAAGGTTGTGGTTTAGGTTTATTTTAATCAATGGTTGTTCATATTTTATAATTACAGCTAACAATAAATAACAAATCAATGATCGTACTGAAAGTAAGCTTCTTTTATCCCATCTTTTAATAATTTTAATGTTTTATTTTGACTAATCTAGTATACAATATTCTGTACATCTTATGTTGGAAACCACTGATATACTGGAAAGTGATAATGTCAAAAAGGTTTGGATATTTTCAGTAAGAATAACCAGAATATAGTCACTGTATACACAGAATTTACTGTCATCTAGTCATCTATCCAGTAAAAACAAATTACACGGCTTGGGGAAATACAGAACTAAATGATAAATTTTACTTCAATGAAATGCTATTTATTTAAATCATTTTATTTCTACAGATAATTTCTGACCCTAGACTTCGTTTTGAGTTAGCACTTCGAGAAGCTGGACTTCATAAAACATTTTATGCCAAGGAGATATTACCAAAAATCGGTCCTCAAAAACCTCCAAGAAAGGATACAGAGTCTACTGTATTCAAAATCTAGCGTTCATCCTCAAATCATGTTATACATAAATAAGATTTTTCTTTGAATACATTTATATGGATAACAATACTACTTTCTAAAATTTTTTCAAATATCAGACATAGAAATCATAGCATCTGTTAAAAACTTTTTATTTTATGATTCTTAGACTTTTATGCACTATTTCCAATATCTTTGTTATGTTTAATAGTACTAAATTCTCCAAAGACTATAGAACTTAATTATGACACATATGGGACATGTATTATCATTTAGTAAATTGAATTTTGGAGGTTGCATTATGCCATAAAAAGAGCTCAGAATAACCATTTGCAAGAATTACAGTTTATGTTGCTACTACCTACTAATGTTCATTTCTGCTTGTTATTTCAGAATTTGAGTTTTTTAATTATGGAAGTTTCATTATCATTAATACTTCTATTATTTCTCGATTATTATAAGAGGAGGCTCAACCTTTCTCTAAATTTAGAAGCCAATTTGGTATACCATGTTTACTGCAAACCAATCATCCAAACAACTTCATTTTGCAAATTAGCCTGTAAGAATAAATTAGAAATTAGAAATAGCATTTCAAGCATAAGGATATCTGTTTTGGCTTGGAAAAATATATTTGTATGGTTGTTTGGAAGGAATGTTTTAAAATTCAGAATGCTATCAAAATTTCCATGTTATCTATTAAATATCTAGATGATTTTATAGAAAGGAAGTGTTTCAAGTAAAACTCAAGCATAATTTTTTACTATTTCTAAACAATCACACAAATACAAGTAGCTGGTGATACACAGCAGGAGGTAGTGTCACTATTTTGAGAACCATGGAGTTGATACTTGGTGGTTATGATGAAAATATTAGTTGAGGTTTGGGCAGCAGCCTAGATGCTGGCTATGCCCAGACTCAGACCTTATTAATTTTCTTTGTTTTTAAAAATACTATTAATAATAGTTATCATTCATTGAGCACAAACTGTGCTCAGTACCCTATATGTACTTTACATATAATGTCTTACTTGACCATCATAACAACCTTATGAGATTGTCATCCGCATTTTACAGATAAGGAAATAGATTCAGGAAGGTAAAATAATGTGCCCTAGATCAGTTGTTTGTCAAACTGTGGGTCATTAAATCAATCTAGTGAGTCCTGACCAGTATTTTTTAAATGACACAAAATAAATCTGAAATCCATGTGTGATTTGGGTTTCATCCCCTCTCAGTTCCACAAGAATTTCTCTTGTTTGGTTACCCTCTTTCTCTCCTATGTCTTCAAGTTCTCCTTCAGCATACATATACGCTCAAATAAATTTCACTCAAAAAATCGATTTCCATTAACCCCACATTTTCCCCTAGCTACCAGGCTATTTCTCTGCTCCTCTTCTTAAGTGAACGTCTTGAAAATGTTGCCTCCAGATATTTGGTGTCTTCTCACTTTCTAGTTACGGTCACTCGTTCTGAGCTAGTTTTGCCCTCACCCTCCACTCACACTGCTCTTAGCAAGGGCACCAGTGAACTCCATACTGACAAATTTGATGACCATTTTCAGTCTTCATCTTACTGACTTCATGGCAGCCTTTAACTCTGTTGGCAACCACCCCATCTTGGAACATGTTCTTCTCTTGGCTTCTATGACACCAGCCTGCTTTACCTCCTGTTTCTTCAGTCACTCCTCAATCTTCTCGGCTGACACCTCCATCTCCATTGATCTCTAAGTGATGGAGATTTCCGGGATTAGACCTTCTAGCTGTCTTTCTTTACTGTTGAATCGCCCAAGGGAAGATCCTTAAACACTATATTTTAGTTTTAGTTATAAAATTATGTCTGAGTGTCTTTTAATCTATAGGCCTCCCCCTCCATCCTTGTTTTTTTCCCTTGAAATGTATTTGTTTGAAAAAAAATATATTTACATGTAGAATTTCTTATGTTGGATTGTTTTGATGGTGTCCTCCTGGTGTAGTTTAATATGTTCCTCTGTCCTGTGTTCTTTGTGTGTGCTATAAATTGGTAGTTGAACTTAGAAGCTATATTAGATTTGGTTTCTTTTTTTTTTTCAAGACCACTTAATTTTACTGCTGTGTTCTGTCATCTGAGCATTTTTTTTAGTTTAGCTATTACTAATTCTTAATGCCTAGAGCCATTAATTAATTATAGATTACATGCTAGAAATTCTGTAATTCAATCACTCCTTCTTTATTAGTGGAAACCTTATATAAAGAAAAATTTCCCTCTTCTCTATTTGGTAGAGAAGATAAGAAATGTAAGCTAAGTGTTTGAGCCTTTTTTTTCCCATTACCTTATGAGGTTTGAAAATAATGAATTGGCATTCTAATATCATCCAAAGGTGATCAGTTTTGTTGTATCTTTATGAAGTCATAGATTTAAAGGAATTTGATGTTTCAATCTGTTGAAGTATTATCCTTATTGCTGCTCAAATTATCTCCTCCTTGCCCAAAGGAAGTCTTTTCAGTTAGGCTCATGGGTTCTTTAAAGACAACTTAATAGACTTGATAACTTCCTTGCTATTCCAGTTATCTATTGCTTTTTAACAAAACTTAGTGGTTCAAAACTACATTTTTTTTTTTTTTTTTTTTTTACTATCTTTCATGGTTTCGTGGGTTGACTGGGCTTTGCTGTATGTTTCTTGCTTGGAATTTTTATTAACTTTATATCACTGTTTTAACAAATTACCACAAACTTAGTGGTTTGAACAATACAAATTTATTATTGTTCTGAAGGTTGGAAGTCTGATTTGGGTCTCACTGGGCTAAAATCAAGACATCAACAGGGCTGCATTCCCATCGGGAGACTCTAGTGGAAAATCTGTTTCTTTGCCTTTTCCAGCTCCTAGAGGCTGCTCACATTCCTTAGCGAAAAAGTTAGAATTAGAATATATTACTCATTTATGTTATCTCACATTTTACACACAACAAACAGTCTTAGACTAAAATACCAGTATGATAAAGACAAGAACAATAAAAAAATTCTATGCACTTTCTATTCTTTTTCCTTTTGTTATAGTTGTACTTTATATTGTCAAAAATTATGTAAATATTATATTCTCTCTCTTTTAGCTCTAATTTAATCTTAGTTCTATAAGTAAATATGTATTTACTGATTGCCACCAATCTTTATATCAGTGTCTTCTCATTTTGGCTGTCTGTTTTCTAGAAAAATCTTCAGAAATTACTCATGGAAACAATATTTTCTGAATTCTTGAATGTTGATAATGGTTTGTCAGAGGTCTTTATAGTTGAAAGTCCGTTTTGCCTGAGTATCAGATACTTTATTTACATTTACTTTCCTTAGCATAAAATGTCAAAAGGCTGGTTATAATCCGATTTTAATTTCCCTGATGATCACTTGATCTTTTGCCCAATTGTACCAACGATATTTTTTTTTCTAATCACATAGTAGTTTTTTTTAATTATATATCTGTTTATTGTTTTTTTTTAAATTTAACATCTTTATTGGGGTATAATTGCTTTACAATGGTGTGTTAGTTTCTGCTTTATAACAAAGTGAATCACACATAGTAGTTTTATGGACTTGATCTTTTTTTTTTTTTTTTTTGCTGTACGCAGCCCTCTCCCTGTTGTGGCCTCTACCGTTACGGAGCACAGTCTCCGGACGTGCAGGCTCAGTGGCCATGGCTCACGGGCCCAGCCGCTCCGCGGCATGTGGGGTCTTCCCAGACCGGGGCACGAACCCGTGTCCCCTGCATCAGCAGGCGGACTCTCAACCACTGCGCCACCAGGGGAGCCCTGTGGATCTGATCTTGATGTTGGCCATTCTGGGTCAATATACCCAGTCATGGTATTCCCTTTCACAATATAAATTTAATTTTATTTCAGGATATTTTTAAAATTATAATTATTAGTATTATGCTCCCTTTTAATTTTTTCCCTAAGGACCTCTTTTATAGTATTATGCTATGTTGGATCTTCTTTGCTTGTAGTCTTTATTTGTCACTTTCTCTTGAATCCCTTTGATCTCTTTATTTTTCCCAGGTTTTGAAAATCTTTTTGTATAGAATTTCATTCCTTTTTAAGGCTGAATAATATTCCACTGTATTTACATACCACTTTTTAAATTTTTAAATTTAATTTAATTTTTTAAATCATTTATTTATTTATTTTATTTTTGGCTGCATTGGGCCTTCATTGCTGTGCCAGGGCTTTCTCTAGTTGTGGCGAGCAGGGGCTACTCTTTGTCGCAGTGCATTTGCTTCTCACTGCAGTGGCTTCTCTTGTTGCAGAGCATGGGCTCTAGGCATGTGGGTTTCAGTAGTTGTGGCTTGTGGGCTCAGTAGTTGTGGCTTGCGGCGCAGGCTTCTCATTGTGGTGGCTTCTCTTGTTGCGCAGCACGGGCTCTAGGCATGTGGGCTTCAGTACTTGTGGCACATGGGCTCAGTTGTGGCACGTGGGCTCAGTAGTTGTGGCTTGCGGGCTCTAGAGCACAGGCTCAGTAGTTGTGGTGCATGGGCCTAGCTGCTCTGTGGCATGTGGGATCCTCCTGGACCAGGGCTCGAACCTGTGTCCCCTGCATTGTCAGGTGGACTCTTAACCACTGCGCCACCAGGGAAGCCCCTATATACCACTTTTTTTAAACCACGTTTTGTTCATGTCTCAGTGAACATTTGGTGTGTTTCCACCTTTTGACTATCATGAATAAGGCTTGGGGTATAATAGTTGCCTAGCTTTTATTTATTTATTTTAACTACAGGCATACCTCATTTTATTGTGCTTTGCTTTATAGTGCTTCACGGATATTGTGTTTTTTTACAAGCTGCAGGTTTGTGGCAACCCTGCATTGGGCGCGATTTTTACAACATTTGCTTACTTCGTGTCTCTGTTTCACATCTTGGTAATCCTCGTAATATTTCAAAATTTTTTATTATTATATTTGTTATGGTGATCTGTGTTCAGTGATCTTTGATATTACTGTTATAATTGTGTTGGCACCATGCTCATATAATACGGCAAACTTAATTGATAAACATTGTGTTCT